TTATGAAGACCAGGGCCACTGACGGCTGTACCACTGGGAACCAAAGGAATCCAAGCTGAAAGCTGGCTGCCTCTCTCCCCAACCTTCCAACTCCCCCCCCAGAGAAAACTCCAGATGCAATTACCTTTCACCAGAGAAAGATGCATTTCAACAGGCTGGCGAATATGCGCCTGCCACACACACAACACACTGGGAGCCCTGTAGCCACTGGGAACAAACGCCCTGCCTTCCTCCAAAACCCACCCCCTCACCACACAGTACACAGTGGCCGCTTTCCTTCCAGACTCTCCCTTGCCTCTGGGAGACATGCGGCAAGAAGGGGCAGCTTCTCCATCAAAGCCCCCAAGGCCGCGACTCACTTTACAAATTTGAATCGGTACATTTCATGCAGACTTGGACTAATCCCCCCAAAAACAAACAGGCCACCACAGTGAGCAAAGTTACACAAAATTGTATTGTACAGTTAATAACACAGCTGAGTCAAGTTTCTGCACCTAGACCGCTCATATATTTTCCCAATGACAGAAGCAGGAGAGAAGGGATTAAAACCCAAGTGTCGGGCAATCCCCTCGGGTCCCCTCCCGTTCTGGGAGCTTTTCTGTCCCCTCAATAAATCCTGCTTTCTTAAAAAAAACAAAAAAACAAAAACCCAAGAGTCCCGGGACACCTTCCTGACCACACTCACGCGTACGACAACAAGTGTTGCCAGAGAAGGGGCAGCGGTCTGCCAAGCACGGTCTGCTCGGCAGGCAATAAACCGCGTCTGTAGGGAAGGAGGAGGCATGGGCTTGTCTTCCTCCCGCTCCTAGCAAAGTGCGTAGGTAGGGCTATGGGCTCACCCCACCACCAGGCCCGCACAGCTGGCCTGTAAGGGCCCTGAGCCCCGAGTCCTACGGTGCATCACAGCCACATGGGTGGGCGAGACCCCCATCAAACGTGCCTGCCCGCCCTCCCCAGCTCAACCCTGGCCCCCAGGAATACAGGATGTTTCCGGTACCCACCCAGCCACTCAAGGGCCACAGATACCATCTGAGATGCCAGGGAATGAGGCGCAGCAATGACCCAGCGGCCGCCCTGTGGCCCAGCCCGCAGCAGCAGGCTGGAGACCTGGGCCCACGCTGCTGCCCCTTCCGCCCCCTCGCCACGAGGCCGGAAGTGATCGTCCCGAGGCCTCAACCTCTGCCTTGGCCCAGGAGAGAAGAGAATGACACTTGCCGCCTCCCCAGCCAGAGACAGCCTAGGGAGGACACAGTGTAGTCTGGCGATCATGACAATCACATACCCAACCCTCCCTGCCACTGATGAGACCGGTGGAGGGGCTGCCACGTAGCAAGTGTCCAGGAGACACGCAGAAAGTGAGGCGACCAGGAATGAGAACGGAAGGGGCGCGAAGTCGAAGGGGATGGAACGACACCCAACCGCTTGGCGCTTCTCACTCTTGAGCATTGACTTTACTCAGCCAAAGGATTCTTAAAGGGAGTGAAACGTACCACACCTTTTAAGATTAAATCTGCCTTCCTGTGCCACTCACGGGCAAGGGCTCAGGGTTCCATGGGGCCTCAGGAGGTTGCAGCTCTGAGAACAGAGGGCTGAAGGCGCCCTGCCCCTCAAGTCCCCCAGACACCGCTCCGCCCGCCTGCAGCCCCTGCGTCCTAGGCCACCTCAGGCTGTCCTTCTGTCACTTGTCCAGCAGCCCCAGGGGAGCCTCCTCCCCAGGGGGACAGCGTCATTGTAACCACGAATCTTAGAAACAGGGTTGCCGGTGTCGGGAGGAAAAGAGGGGCAGAGGGTGGGCGAGGCCGAGGCAAAAGCCCTTGCCTGCTGCCTCCCGTGAGCGTGCCCGTCTCCGCCAGTGTTTTTTGCTCTCCAAGCATGACTCCAGACACATGCCTGCTTGCAAGTCAAGAACACGAGGAAAGGGAAGGAAAGAGAGGGGACACGTGGACACAGGACACCGGCTTTCTCCCAGGCATGAGCACCTCAAAGCTAGGGCCTGACGCTTCATGATTTAGACCCGAATGCCTGAGTTCACACACAAGAAAGGAAGGAAGAAAAGCCCAGCACCAAAGACCATGCAGAACGACAGCCCTGAGTCAAACAGAAGCAGGAGGGGAGCTGAGTGAAGACCACGCAGTCACCGTTGCCAGAGGCCGTGGCTCCTCCCACCTGGATGAGGGAGTGGCGGCGACAGCGAGAGCGAGAGCACAGCGAGAGCGAGAGCGTGCTGGGTAGAACAGGAGCGCTTGGCCTAGGGCTCCTGGTCCCATGAGGGGTCGCATCACAGCAGTGACCCTGACAAGCACCCTCCAAAGATCAGGCTGGGAGGGGAACAGAAGGCAGCCATCCAAGGCAGGAGCCGCACCACGCCCCGGGGCCGGGGGAGCGGGGCACAGGCTTGACGGCAGTTGTACTGCTGAGCAACACGCCACCGGACCAGAGAGTGTTCTGGCTGACATAATACTACAGCCCTTCTTGAGGGTCGCTTGAGGCCAGGAGTTTGTGACCCGTCTGGGCGATCTAGCAAGGCCCCATCTCAGAGACCAAAAAAAAGAGTGACAGCCTTTCGAGGATCCCAGCATTTCTTCACACAGACTTCTTCAGGCCACCTTCACAATACTCTATTAAGTCTTGTCAAGGAAATGGCATTCACATTTAACAGAGGAGAAAACAGAGGCCAGGCGAGGGAATGACTCGAGGCCCCCTGCCGGGTGGTGACGCAAACTCATTTTCCAGGCTGCTCTCAAGATCAGACTCTGAGGCCGGGAAGCAGCATCTCCCAAGACCGAAGAAACGAATGAGTTCACTGAAGGGTTCACATTCATGGTTGCAGTGAGAAGAAATGGATCCAATGTTAAGGGGAAAAAGATTCTATCCCACTATACTCGTGGGGTAAGAGAAAAGGGGCAGAGATAGCAACAGCATGTGCCCTGGTCGTCTAGGCCATCTTGTGTAAAGACAGAAGCTCCAACACAGGCCGCTTTTAAAAAGAGTGCGAGACATCACAGGTGGAGATGGGGATAAAAGGCCATCTCAAACAACTGGATCAGGAGCTGAACAGTCGGCCCCCCGCACGGGGAAGCATCCCAAGAACAAGGTGGGAGGGCCACTTGGGCAACAGAGTTTGAGACCAACCTGGGCAATCCAGTGAGACTCCTGTCTCAAAAAAATCAGTCAATCAATAAGTCATCCAGGGCCAAGAAGAGGACAAGAAGATTCCAGAGAGGAGACATGTCGACGACTTAGCGAGGATCTGGCACGGAGCGAATGACTAACAGATGTTAGGGCCCGTGACAGTGGCAGTCACACAGCAGGAGGGAAGCTAGAAGGCTCGGTCCTCCCCCAAAGCAGTCTCCGAATTGTGGTCAAAAAACCCAAACTCTGTTTGCTGTAACCTTAGACACTCCTTACAAGGGCAGACTCGGCCTCAGCCTCCTTTATGGACACCGTCTCAGCCGCTGCTGTGCTCTGCTCTGGGAAGGGGTGGCCTGACACATTCCAGAGGCGGCGGCTGGGGGGCAGCGTGCAGGCGAGAGCGGCCGAGTCTGTCCGTGCTCCTTGGCCTCTGTCCACACGCAGGAGGCGTGTGACCCTCTCCAGCCCTGGAGGGTTCCCTCTGCCACCCACTCCACTCCAGGCTCCTGGAGCTGGCAGAGGCCCTCACGCGGACGCCAGACAGAGTCACAGCACACCTGCCACATCCCACAGGCTGCCCGCCTCCCTCAGTCCTCGCACGGTCCCCGCCCACAGGCCCCCGCCCGGCTAATTGGCTTGAAAAGGGTAGCATCAGGAAGACAGTGAGGAGGACAGCCCAGCTGCGTGGCTCCGTCTTCCCCTCCGCTCCCACGCACTTAGCCTCTCCACTCCCCCCTGCTCTCGCCTTCCCCCTTTCCTAGGGTTGCGAGAATGATTTGTTCCAAACGGCGACAGGTTTATAGGTTAGCCGACACCTCTGCTCTGTGGAATTTTAATTAACTTCTCCCATCGTCGATATGCTAAGGAGCGGGGTTCTCCATTCTCTGGGGTCAGCAGCGTGTTTCAGGTCCCTGCTATATCAGCCATCAAATTGAAGAATTAATGACGTGGCTAATCGGCTCTAATTCTTAGGAAGGAAAAATTGCGAAAGGGGCTTGTGGAAGGGAGGGGGAGAAGGGTGCAGGCTCCACAGGGCGGGAGAAAGGCTGAAGGGGCCGAGCCAGGCAGGGTCTGACTGCCGGACAAGCGACAGACACAGCCAGGCTAGAGGGGCGGCCCCGCAGCGTTCCCATGTCCCAGCTGGGGGTGCAAGGGGAGCCGGGGGGACCCGAGATGGACATGGTGGCAGAGCGGGCACGGGCGTCTGTGGACCTTGCTGGGGAGGAGAGAGGCTCCGCCTTGGCTCCAGAGGGCCCAGAAAGTAGAGGCCGGGATGCGAAGCTCACGTGCTCACAGGTCAAGCTAGAGAAATGCCCACTGGATCAAATGGCAGGGCAAAGACGCCAACCAAGCTCCGCACCTCTGCCACAACCATCGACACTCCCACTCTTCCACATACGTGTCGCTGAGGGCCCTGCTGGGTCCAGGCCCCCAGCCTCTCCCGATGACTAGAGTCTGCAAGGAATACTCCAGAGGACATCTGCCAAGGGGCAGAGGTGTGCGTCGTGAAGCAGGCTGGCTGGTGTTGTCACCACTGTGGACGCGTAGAGAGGGGCCTCTGCTGCGGGAGCAGCCCCAGAGAGCATTCGCTCTGGAACGCAGGGGCTGGCCCCAGCTGCATCCTGGCAAAGGACCCTCTCCTTAGCACGCCTGGGGGTGGATGCTCAGGAAATCAGTTCCCAGGTTATCGCGACCCAAAGCATCCATGAGGTGACCTAAACTCAGATTTCTGGAGGATCTCAAAATCTCCACGAGAGGGCTCAGAGCGACCGAGACTACATCAGTGAAGATCTTCTAGCTCACCTGACCGAGGAAAACAGAAGCATTATCACATGGGACAAAACCACATCCAAAAGTGTCTCCCTTACCTGAGTAACGGGCTGATAGCAATGGACCAAACTCGGTCTTCAGTCTGGATGGTGTGTAAGCACTGCCCCAGCCGGCCTGAGGCCAAAGGCCACACCTGGAAACAGGAGAGGAGACACTCTTGTTGGCATTGCCCGGGGTGTGTGCCGGGACAGGTGGCTGTGCTGGGGGATGGGGCGCCCTTCCTGCCCTGCACACACAGAGCTCAGGCATCAGCGGAGGGGCCACTCCAACTCTGGGCTCGCCTGCTACCCTCCTAGCCACCCCCCCGTGCACCCCTAGAGCCCTTGCAGGTCAGCGGTTTACCAGGGAATCGGAAACTCCGCTGGAGCTTGCCTCCCAGCAGCCTGCCCGTGTCTGGGATGCGCCTTTCTCCGTGGGCTCACCGAGATTTTACTTCGGGGAAGCAGGGAGAGGAAGATGAGATTCCACTTCAGGGAAGCGGGCAGAGGGAGGAAGATGGGGTGTAGTGCGAGGGGACAGGGACAGGGTCAGAAGAGGAATAAAGGGAAAGACAGAGGGGAAGGAAAGAATGGCAGAAGGGAGACTTCAAAGTAGGAGGGTGGGCGTTGTTGTTTGTTTGTTGATAGCACCCACCAGTGCTATTCAGGCGGTGGGAATTTAGCACCTAGTGTCAGGAGCAGCAGAGAAGCTTAACTCTTTAAGCTTCCATATCTCCTACAGGTTAAAAATACTGCTTGGAGCCATTATCTGGCCCCTATCAGCCAGGAATGCACATTAGCAGCCACTCGGGGCTTAGCTCTCATCAACACTCAGCCCTCTCAGCAGTCCGGGCGTTCAGGCATCTCCCATTAAGCACGGAGCTCCCCTCACCTCACCCCTCCCCAGACGACACACATGGGGACATAAGCCTCTAGCCAAACAGAACGGGAACCTCAGATCCACAGGGCTGTCCCCAGACAGCAGTCACGGGAGGATCCAGCGGCAGCCAGATGGATCAGTGACCTCTTAAGGTCCCTGCAGGCTATAAGGGGAACACGCCAAAGCCAGGCAGGACCTTAGATGGAAGAACTTTAAAGAAAACATTCCTCGAGTTTAAGGGGTAGGTGGTGGAGTGGGGTGGTCCTGCCTGCCGAGGGTCACATGGTATCTCTTCCCTATAAAAGGAGAAAGTGTTTCTTAGAGTGTTAGAGTGTGTGTGTGTGCGTGCGCGCGCGAGCGCGCACACAGGGGTGAAGGATGGGACAACTGTGAGTAACTTTTCCCAGCACAGGGAAAAGAAATTTAATAAGAAGATCCTGAACCAGGAGGGGCAGAAAACAAAGGCAAACCCCACGCCTTTTCCTGGCCCCAGCCAGCTCTTTGGGCTATGTGCTCAGCCCCTCTGGTAGGAAGCAGACACACCTTGAGTGTCCCCTTTCAGGAGCCCCCATGTGGGAGACAGTGTCTCCTCTTCCCAGACACAAACTCCCGAGGAGGCAGGTTCTTTCTGTGGGGGTGAGGAAACACTACAGACACTGCGACAAAAGCTATGGGGACAGCTCAGGCCTGAATTCACTCATGCCCCCCACAGAAAGGACTGGTGGAGCCCCAGATGCTGCAAGCCCCACAGCGAGGATCCTGGCCTGCGAGGTGGCTTGGGAACATGCTGCCCACCCTGAGTCTGAGCACGGCCTTAGGCAAGCAGGCCTCCCCCGGCCTCTCCCACTCACCCCCCCTCCCCCACCCCTGGCCCAGGCAGCATCCTCCTCCAGAGAAACCTGAGGGACAGGAGTTGGCAACAATATGCTGATCCCATCCTTGTCCTCCGTGGCCAGATTCAAAGCAGACCCTTCCCTGGAAAAGATTCATTGGGACTGGATATTCTTACAGTCCTCTTTGTTTTGTTTTGTCTGTTTGTTTTTTTGAGTCGGAGTCTCACTCCGTCATCCAGGCTGCAGTGCAGTGGCACGCTCACAGCCACCGCAGCCTCGGCCTGCTGGACGCAGCGATCCTTCCACCTCAGCCTTCCAAGTAGCTGGTACCACAGGCATGCACCACCATGCCTGGCTAATTTTTTTTATTTATTGTAGAGATGAGGTCTTGCCTAGTAGCCCAGACTGGTCTCGAACCCATGGGCTCAGGCAATCCTCTTCCCCCCACCTCCCAAAGTGCTGGGATTACAGGTGTGAGCCACCACGCCTGGCTTATACAGTCCTTTTAAAAAAGCAGGTTGGGGATAGGCACCAAGACCTCTAAGATAACTAAAGCCTTTGACTCAGTATTTTGTTGCTGAAAATCTATCCTAAGAAAATAATCCTAAAATGTTAATAGAAACCTAAATGGTGAGATATGCCCTGCAGCCTGTAGTTGCAGAAAAAGCACGCCAAGGCTTTGGGGTCAGACCAATTTGGGTTTGAATCCCAGTTGCCAACTCACTGCCTTTGCTCTTAGGGATATGTCATAGCTTGTTAGCCTGCTTCCTCCTGCATCAAATGAAAAACAGTGCTTCTCTCTCAGGGTCACGGGGCAGAAAAGATAAGGATGAAGCACCCAGCACAGCAGTGCAGTACTGGTGGGTTTCAGGCAACCGACAGTGGTGGTTCTTGGGGAACGGGGGATATAAACATCCGCCGGTGGGAAAATGGCAGGTAAGTCCTGGCAGGTCTGTCATGAAACCATTGAAGATGACACAAACAACATGCAATAATAACGGGAGATCTTTTTTTTTTGAGTCGGACTCTCACTCTGTCGCCCAGACTGAAGTGCAGTGGCTGCTCCTGGCCACCGCAGCCTCGACCCGCTGGGCTCCGGCAATCCTTCCGCCTCAGCCTTCCAAGTAGCTGGAACTACAGGCGCATGTTACCATGCCCAGCTAAATTTTGATTTTTTGTAGAGATGAAGTCTCGCCAAGTTGCCCAGGCGGGTCTTGAACCCACAGGCTCAGGCAATCCATTCACCTCAGCCTCCCAAAGCGCAGGATTACAGGCTGAGCCACCACGCCCGGCCATTGGGTGATCTTATAAAGTAAATTCAGCAGGGGAAACTGGGTGTCCAAAAATATATTATAAGCACAGACATGTGGGGGGAGATGTACCCTACAGGATCACATGAAGGAATAAAATGCTTGGCACAATATCTGGATACATTCTCTATTGTTACAAAACAAACAAGCAAAACCATGCCTTGAAAAATGGCTAAAAGAAGAAAAAGCCGGGTGCAGTGGCTTACAGCTGTAACACCAGCACTTTGGGAGCCCAAGGTGGTTTTGCTTGTTTGTTTCATAACTGCTTGAGCCCAGGAGTTCAAGACCAGCCTGGGCAACACAGCGAGATCTTGTCTTTACAAAAAAAATATCAAAAAACTAGTTGGGTGTGGTCGTGGGCGCCTGTCGTCCCAGCTATTCCGGAGGCTGAGGTGGAAGGATTATGTGGGCCCAGGAAGGGAGAAAGAGAATAAGGGGAGGAGGGGGAGGACAAAACAACCATCTCAAATGCTCCCCCCTTCATCGAGTCTTCCCTTCCAAGGCAGATGTGATCCCTCTACCTTCTGAACTTTCTGGCCCTTTCCCTGAAGGCTTACACTTCACCATCCTAGCTACATCCAATCAGCTTGAGGGCCAGGTCACACATCTCATCTCCCCTCAAGGACGGAGGTTGTATGGTCCATGCCTTTGAAGAGCCCAGATGCCTGGTGCCCCAAGCCTCCATGCAGCAGCCATGTGCAAGAAAGAGCAGAGAAATAAAAGAGAAAACGAAGGAATGGTCAGTGTCCAGGCCCACCAAGAACATAAGCTGCCATCTGCTCACATCTTGGGATGGGGCGGGCCCCATGGAGGCCCGAAAGGCAATCCGAGCTAAGTCTCTGTCAATCTGAAACTGGGGCTGGGGGAGGGAAGCAAAGAGGGCTCTGGGGGCACCCAGCTCCGACGTCTTGCAAAGAGAATGACTGGCTCCCTTGCCCATAAACCAAGCTCTTTCCTAAAAGACTGTCCGTATTTGGAAACTCCCCCAAGACAGGCCAAAGGTGACAACAGGTTAACATCACTGCAAATTCCTATGCAGGCTCAGATGGGTTAGGCGTCCAGAGAAGCAGCTGCAGAACTGGAGATGCCGCCGAGAAGAGGGGATCTCTCGGTTGCAAGAGACAAGTCGTGAGTACCGTATTGTGGAAATGGGCCAGGAGGCCGACAACGACGGGAAGCGAAGCCAGGCAGCAGCCAGGAAAGAGGAGTTGGCAGGGAGGTCACGGGGCGCCCCGAACAGCTCACCTGCTTTCAGGAAGTTGAAGAAGAACCAGAGAAGAGAATTCTGCCACTGCCCTAAAGGAAACCCTCAAAAGGAAGAGGGGCACTGTGGCGACACTTGGAGAAGAAAGACGCATCTATGCTGTATTTTGAAAAAACCTAAGCCACTAAATAGGGCTGGATCAGTGCAGAAACACGAAACTAGTTCGACGCCCCACATAAAATCGCCATTATTCTCCGGCACCCCCGATTGCCAGCTATGGCTGGAATGCTTAGTTTTATACTGCTCTGGGCGTCAGACCACAGAGAACAGGACAGAAGGAAGAGACATCACAGGGAAGCCCAAAGGCATGACAGGAAGATGCCACGGGAACTTCTAGGTCACACCCCCCCCGCCATGGGTTTCTATGCAAGTTGACTTTCGAGCAGTATCACAAGTTAAAGCCAGGACCTTTCAAAGAATGGCACAGTGGCCAACCAGATCCTGGAGTAAGTAGGGGTCGGGTCAAGGGAAGCAAGCGACAGGAAACCTAGCTTCCTTGTTGGTTCAAAAGATTCACGGGACTTTTCTCAGGCTTCCTGTGCCAGTGTGCATTCTCTCTGACTGAATACAAAGCGTAAGGCAGAAAGCAGGAAAGGGAGAAGAAACTTCCATAAGAAGAAAGGAGCACATGTGCCCTTTTCCCATCAATGAGCAGCATCACTCCATGAAGGAGCAGTCACCAGAGCGCACATGGAATCAGAAAGTTCCTGGGTAAAGACTGCACCGTCCCTCTCTGGAGTCTTCTCCCCATGTACTTGAAAGGCCCATCTGTTGGCCCAAATGAGCATTTTGCTCCTGTCAGCACCGTGGAGCCTCCAGATGCCGGGAAATACACAGCAAGAACTACCAGGCCTCCTGTGCCACCAAGTGAATGGTCAGCAAAGCTCCCACAGCTGCCCCAGAGGCCCAGGCCTGGGCAGGCCCCCATGAGGGCTGCTGAACACAGGCCTGGAGAAGGAATCTCTCCCGTCTCATGGGTGGGAGCCTATGTGACCAGACGTGAATGTGTCCACACACGGGTCATGCTGTCCATCGGCCGCCTCTCATGCCTCGGCAGCATCTGCGGACCGGGTGGTTTAGCAACACTGCAGCAAACACCAGCTCTCTCTGGCCATCTCTGCCGCCTACTGACCGCATCACTCTCCAGAGAAGCAGCAAAAACACCTTGTAATTATCAGCCTGATTGCTTATAAACAAGGTGGTGAAAAATTAACCTCCCTAAACAGAGAGCAAGCAAAAGGAGGGAGATTTTAAAATAAAATATTGGGGTCAGAACTCAACCCACAAGCTTGAGGAAGCTTAGCTCGGGGAGGACAGGCTGGCCAGGCCCTCTGTTTTGGAGTTCACGCCACATTTCAAGTGTGTGGCAAGCTTCCCAGCCACTGTCCACTCCTTTCCCAGTCCTGCTGGCGGGGACACAGCCTGGTGTGGACTCTGCATACCAGAGGCACACAAGTGAGTCCTTTGTGTGTCGCTCTCCCCTGCCCCTGCCAACACTCCCAGCCCACCCCTTACAGACAGGAGGGACCACAGAGTGTAAGGGGGACCCCCTCACCTTGGCCGTCCTGTCCCTGGAGCCACTCACAATGATGCCCCCTTTGCAGTCCACACAATTCACCTCCTGTTCGTGAGCTGAGAACTTGACAGTGTAGGTGCTATGGGTCTTATGAACGCCAATCTTCCCATCGCTAGGAGACAAAGAGGGAGCCAATTATTCTCTCTGTGAGAAGAGAACAAGTCTACAGAGTCAGCCCAGGTCTCTGGTGATGTCCCCGTTCCCTAAGTACTAGGCAATTCAGCCCAATAAGGTGCTTTTAGGAAGTGTCCCTTCTTCGGCACATGTGGGGGCTGAACAGAGCTAGCTAGGAGATGGAATCAATTTCCCTCTGAGTCTTCTAGTGTTCCTTCACCAGCTAGACCTATTAGCTGCTTTTGGTAAAACCTCTCTGTATTAAACGGAAAAAAACACTACCCCTTCTTCTAGTCTCCCTCCTCATCACTTAGGAGTTGAGCCAGAAAAGCCAGAGGCAGGCAGGAGGTTCCTGAAGAAAAAGGAGGACAGGGGTAGGAGGAGAACCCTGCAGCCCTTACCCTCCTGCACTGATAATATGCGGGTTGGCCAGCACGAAGTGGCAAACATCCTCATTCTGCCCGGTGAAGACTCTCAGAGGCCGGCGGTTCAAGCTGGCACCATCTGGGCGGAACTGGTAGGCCAAGATGACATTCGCCTGGGATATATACAGACAATCATCCTCTAGCTGCATCCAGGGCATCTGACTACAGAGACGGAATAGAAAAGAGTTGTCAAGATGCAGCATGAAAACCCAACTCCCATCTTGGAAGACACCGACCAATCCCCAACTCTGCAAGGACAACCTGCAAAGCTAACAGTCTATGCAATTCAACCGCTCCTTCAAAGTGACCTATGCTCCGCTACTCTCAGAAAACCCAAGCGACTGAGCCTGGGGATGCCCTCAGCTTCTCTGGGCTCTAAAAAAGAGTTGAGATCAAAGGGCCACCTGAGAATCACTTTTAGTTGGAGAATGCTTAGTATTTGAATCACCGGCTACCCGGACCGCTCACAGGGAGTCAGAGCTCACAGAGTTCAGTGGCTGACAGGTGGGGAGGGTCAAAAAAGAAATCTTCCAGCCAGGTGAAGCGACTTTCTTCCATTCTGCATCCTCATTCCTTCGAAGTACACGCGGTACATTTCAAGGTTCCGAGATGCCCAAGCCTGCCTCTTCCCGACAGCCCAGCTAGGCTGCGACAGAGAAAAGCAGCCCTGCAAAGTCCCAAGCCTCGCCCAGCTGGAGTGAGGGGGCCATTCATAGGTGAAAGGAAGTCACTAAGAGAGGATGCTAGGGCACTGGCGGGGCACCTGGATCCTTTCGGGGACATCTCCGTGTCTGTACTGGAGGGCAAGGGTGGTGGTAAAGAAATAGCACAAAGCAGCTTGCCGCAGTTCAGGGGCTACAAAGAAAGCCAGCTCTCGCAGGCAACCACTAAGAGAAGTCCACCAGTAGTGGAAGATGCCCCCTCAACCTGGCAGGTGGAAGAAGGGTTAGAGGCCTCAGACTAGTCCCGAGGCAGGGAAGAAGGCTTAAGAAGAAAGGAGGAGCCGGGCTCCGTGGCTCAACCTATAATCCCGTGCTTTGGGAGGCTGAGGTGAGTGGATTGCCTGAGCCTGCGGGTTCGAGACCCGCCTGGGCAACTTGGTGAGCCCTCATCTCAAAGATAAATCAAAAAAATGAGCCGGGCGTGGTAGCGCGCGCCTGTAGGTCCAGCTACTTGGAAGGCTAAGGTGGAAGGATCGCTGGAGCCCAGCAGGTCAAGGCTGCAGTGGCTGGGAGCGGCCACTGCACTCCAGTCTGGGCGACAGAGTGAGACTCCAACTCAAAAACAAAAAGAAGAAGAAGAAGAAAGGAGGTTCGGCCGGACACCAGGCTTCTGGGGGACTGAGTCCCTTTTCCAAGGTGGACATCCCCCCATCCTCCTCTGCACAGGGACCTGGAGCTACCAGGTCCCAAGAAAAGCACAGGGACAGCAGACTCACCCCCTATCGGAGACGCCCTCTCCCTCTGCCAAGCCTGTCTGAGCAAACCAGGCTGTGTTTCCTCCCCGGACTCAATACCCGCATCACAGGAACATGGAAGAGTTCTGCAAATTGACTTGCCGGGCCATTAAATGCAGCCTAGTCTTTGTGGTGACTGAGTCTGCTCACAAGGCTTTTACAAGCGTGTGCATATATTACACAGGATGTGCGTGGCGTGTGCACAGAAGCTTTCGTTCTCATCATGCACATTCCTCACCAACATCCCGTGTAAGTGCGTGGCACATCCGAGCGGGTGGCAAACAGGGGGACGGCGTTCTTGGGTTAGAGCCACCTGGTAAACAGCCACTTGCCCAAGACAAGAAACTAGGTTCACACCAGGTAAACAGTGGAGAATCCTGAGGCAGCCTGGTAACTGTTCTGTGTTTATTCGCCAGATGCTTGAAACTAGCCCAAAAAGTCAACACTGGGGACAAAACCTTGATGGAGAAACACACCCGATTCCGTGGTACAAAAAGGTAAAAGCGGGAAGCAGGCGTAAGCCCTTCATCCTGAAAATCTGTCTCTCTAGTTTCTCTACCGCCACGACCACTAAACCAACCAGAATTCACAGCGACTCGTGTCAGTGAAGCCAGTGGAAACTGGACACAGAAGATAGAAAGGCTGGTCAGGTGAAGAAGCCGCCTGTGCCTCTCAGCACGGGCACAGGTCAACCCGGAATGAGGAATCGTGGCGTTCCCTACCCCCGCCCCAGCAATCGACAGGGAGCACGTTTGGGTAGGGAGCCAGAAAACTATGGCGGGGGGGAGGATAAGCAGTTGAAGGAAACTGCGTGAGAAGGGAGGGGCACACCTCATCAACAAGGGCACCCGCATAATCAATGTTTGTACACCTAACCCTGAATTGTACCCCACATCTTTATAATAAAATAAATAAAATAAGTTATAACCATGAATAACAAATAAATAAATAAATAAAATAAACAAACAAAAAAAAGAAAGTAAAGCCCCAAAAAACAAAATGATGGAATACTTTAGCATCAACAAGGCAGCAGCGTGACAGCCATGACCTACGCTTCCTTACACTTTCCCTAAGCTCTGCCTCCCAGCACATACAGACCCAGACCGCCAGGTCCTACCTAGCCTTGAAATAAAGTAGGGGAGGAGGTAAAGGAACCAAGAGTGAAGGAGTCGCTCCACAGCAGAGAGGATTTAAAGAAAAGGTGGCCGGGCGCAGTGGCTCACGCCTATGATCCCAGCACTTTGGGAGGCCAAGGCAAGAGGACTGCTTGAGCCCAGGACTTTAAGACCAGTCTAGGCAACACAGCAAGACCTCATCTCCACCTAAGAAAAAAAAAAGTATTCACGTAGGCAGCTCATTACTAAAACTGGAATGATACAGAGAAGATGAGCATGACCCCTGCACAAGGATGACACACAAATTCATGAAGCATTCCTTATTTAAAAAAAAAAAAAAAAGGCCGGGCTTGGTGGCTCAGCCTGTAATCCCGCGCTTTGGGAGGCCGAGGTGAGTGGACTTCCTAAGCCTGCGGGTTCGAGACCCGCCTGGGAAACTTGGCGAGACAATAAATAAAAAATTAGCTGGGTGTGGTAGCGCGCGCCTGTGGTTCCAGCTACTTGGAAGCCTGAGCAGAAGGATCACTGGAGCCCAGCAGGTCAATGCTGCGGTGGCTGGGAGCGTGCCACTGCACTTCAGTCTGAGTGAGAGTGAGACTTCAACTCAAAAAAAAAAAAAGAAAAATAGCCAGGCGTGGTGGTGCACAGCTGTAGTCCCAGCTACTTGGGAGGTAGATGTGAGAGGATCCCTTGAGCCCAAGAGGTCAAGGCTGCAGTGAGCCTGGGTCACACAGGAAGACCCCCAACTCAAAATATAATAATAATAAATAATAATAATTGTAAAATTAGAAGGGTTAAAATACTGATTTCATTTATTTCCTTTAACGAGGTAAGTTAATTGAATTATAGGTAAGTTTTATTTCCTTCTTTAGAATTTATTATGTAGACAATTTCATATTTCTATAGTAGACATCGATTTCTTTATCATCATAAAAATATGTCATTTGTTGTTTTTTTTAAAAAAAAAAGTACATCTTTTGTATTCCTTTTTTTTTTTTTTGAGTTGGAGTCGCACTCTGTCATCCAGGATGGAGAACAGTGGCATACTCACAGCCACCGCAGCCTCGACCTGCTGGGCTCTGGCGATCCTTCCGCCTCAGCCTTCCAAGTAGCTGGAACTACAGGAACGCACCACCACACCCAGCTAATTTTTTGATTTATTGTAGAGACGGGGTCTCGCCAAGTTGCCCAGGCAGGTCTCGAACCCGGGGGCTCAGGCCATCCCGTCATCTCAGCCTCCCAAAGTGCTGGGCTTATAGGAGAGAGGAACCACGCCTGGCCCCCTTTTTCTTAAATGTAAAAAATGTCTCCCTGAAGCCCATTTGTGGTGTTTAAAGGCTCAGCCCCAGTCACCCCTGGTGAGGGCCAGGTTTTCCACTTTCCATTGTGCTTTTCTGTTCAAGTGACTTTAAAAGAGCCCAGAGGAGACTTGCCTGCCTCTCCACTTCAGCAGAATCCTGTCCCGGCAGCGCCCCAGCCTCCAGTTCTGAGACACCTTCACACGTTCCTTCACTGGAACGCTGGTCATCCTATGTCGGGACAGAACAGATCATCCAGTCACTGTAACATACTGCCAACCAGAGAAAAATCCGTGGGCTTCCTGGGTCGGGACTCAGGAGTACGAATGAATATAGCAAACAGATTAGGAGACCAAGAAGGGGTAACTCCTGTCTCCAAACCTGATAACCATGAAAGCCAAGGAGACAAGCCTGTGCTTTAAACCACCACCGGTGTCTACCGTGAGGCCAACGCAATCTAGTGGGGAATGGATGACAAATAGGGCTGGGGCCACTGGACATCCAGAAGGAACAAAGCAAACTCAACCCCATCTCACACCACACAGGAAAAGCAATTCAGAACAGATCACACACTGGGCACGGTGGCTCACACCTGTAAGCCCAGTGCTTTGGGAGGCGGAGGCAGGAGGACTGCTTGAGGTCAGGAGTTAGAGACCAGCCTGGGCAATACAGCCAGGCCCTATCTCTACAAAAAAAAAACTTAACAACTAGCCAGGCATGGTGGTGCGTGCCAGTAGCCCTAGCTGTATGGGCAGCTGAGACAGGAAAATTGCTTATGCCCAGGAATTGAAGACGTTCATATATGTTCTGAATACCAGTAAGAAACTCTCCTACATTGCAGATGGGAAAGCAAGATGGTAGAGCCATTCTGGAAAAAGATCTGATAGTTTATTACAAATCTAGACATATACCTACTCTACAACCTAGTAAGTATCAAAAGAAATAGAAGCTATGTCCACAAAAGGCTTACACAGGAATGTCCACAGAAACTTTAGTCCTAATAGCCAAAAGTTGTACATAGCCCAGGCATCCATCACCAGGAGGGTAGACAAACACACTGAAATACCATTCAGCAAGCAAGGGAAAGAAGCACTCATGTGCTAGTAACATGGATGACCAAGGAACACTGCACTGAATAAAAGAGCCTTACACAAGACAGACCCTAATGTATGGGGAACCCAAGAAACCTGGAATTTATTTATAAAGCACTGTGTGTTTATCCTTACACGTCGACACTCCAGACACCTTAAAAGCCCTCTCCATCTGATGCAATACACCTATCTCCACAGCTCAAAACCATTTTGGAACTAGTCAATTTGGATGCCTTTTAGTGCTTCTGTTTTGTTTCACCCTTTCACATCGGCAAAACAACAACAAAAATCGCTCAGGGAGAAACTGGATGAATAGGGAGGGTAGGGTCTGGGGCTCAAGCTGTTTTGGGTCAAAAACTGCTGAACTCTCAGCGCCGTGTGGGTAGGTGTGTTGTCATGGTGGGAGAACCAATCAGCCGCTTGCCACAGCTCATGATGTTTCTTCCACAATAATCTTTTCAAAACTTCCAAATAAAAACTTTTGTTGATCCTTTGGTTGACCTAGTGGGGGAAGCCGGTACACGACAAGAGGCCCTCCCTCCAAAATATAATTCTGGGGTTTTTTGGGTCCCCCCCATATGAGTTCATTCACATCAAGTTTGAGAAGAGATAACCAACCCATGGTGAAGAAAACCAGAAGAGTGATCACGACCAGGGTGAAGATGGAGACTGACTGGAAAGGATCACACAGCTTTCAAGTCATATTCTATACCGACATTGTGAAGCAGTTGGGGTTATACACGTGTGCATGTATTTGTCAAAAAGGTATCAGGTGGGGCAGGCACAGGAGCTCACGCCTGTAATCCCAATGCTTTAGGAGGTGGCGACAGGAGGATCGCTTGTGGCCAGGAGTTTAAGGCTACAGTGAGCTATGATCATGCCTCTGCACGCCAGCCTGGGCAACAGAGCAAGACCTTGTCTCTGAAAAACAAAAAGAAAAAATTTAAAAACAAATGCATCAAATGACACACTTAAGATATGAGCATTTCACTCAAATATAAATTCACTGTATATGCAATTTTCTTAAAAAATAAATAACTGTTGGGTCAGGTATGGTGGCTCTTACCTATAATCCCAGCACTTTGGGAGGCCAAGGAGGGAGGCCTGCTCGAGACCAGAAGTTCAAGATCAGCCTAGGCAACATAGTGAGGCTTTGTCTCTCCAAAATAAAATGGACTGTATGTGGTAGCACGTGTTCATAGTCTCAGCTACCAGAAGGCTGAGGTAGGAGGATCACTGGAGCCCATAAGTTCAAAGTTGTGTGAGCTGTGATGGTGCCACTGTACTCCAGCCTGAGCGACAGAGTAAGACCTCGACTCAAAAAAAAAAAGGAAAAATAAAGAAGTACAAACTCATACACTCCAGTCAATGATATTCGTGCAGGCTGAGGCATTTAGATGTGAAGTGTATTAAGACCTGGAACTTAGTTTGAAATGCACGATATAATCAAATGTCCATCGAAGAATCGAAGTGGTGAGTATATGAGTGTTCATTGTACAGTTCACCTACTTTTCTACATATTTTAAACTCTTCATTTAAAAAATGTTGGAGGGAGTATCAGTAGTACTTTCTGGAAGAGCAGAGTAACAGCACTAAGAGGTAAGGAAGCACAAGCGGCAGAAATGATATATTTGGGGTGGGTGGGAAGGGAATGGGAAGAGCACGAGGCCCTTAGAGAAGACAGCTTTGGACCGCATTTTGAAATCGCTGGCAAAGCCGGGCGCGGTAGCTCAAGACAGTCATCCCAGCACTTTGGGAGGCTGAGGCGAGAGGATTGCCTGAGCCCGCAGGTTCGAGACCAGTCTGAGCAACATGGTGAGACCTTGTCTCTACAATAAATCAAAAAATTAGCTGGGCATGGTAGTGCATGCCTGTCATTCTGGCTACTTGGAAGGCTGAAGCGGAAGGATCGCCGGAGCCCAGCCGGTCGACGCTGGGGTAGCTGTGAGCGTGCCATGGCACTCCAGCCTGGGCGACAGAGTGAGACTCCAACTCAAAAAAAAAAGAAATCACGGTTGAGAAATGGAAAATTCCATCTCAGGCTCCCGCATTTCCCCTCTGTCTCCTTTGCTTGCTCCACTGCACAACACAGGGTACAAAGCTGTGGACACAGAGTGGTAACGGCCATGGCTGCTTGGAAGGCACACCAGCCGAGGACAGAGATCCACACTTCTTCCAGCCTCTCGCCTTCACGTAGACCACCCTTCACTCAACCCAGCAAGCAAGTCCAGCTTTCAAGAGTCTAACGGATACAGGTTTGGAAGGATGGTTCCAGCGAGAAGGTACCGAATCCATTTCTAGATCAGTACTCTGCCTCCTGGTCTTATTTATTTGTACCGAGTAATTATTTTTGGTTAATAAGTAATCGCCACATAGGGTTGAAAAAAAAAGTAGATAGTATGAAAGGTTAGCAAGATAAAAGCGAGTCATTCTCCGACCCTCTCACCAAGACACTCCTTCCTAGAGGCAACTGCATGCACACTGTGGATGCCTGTACATTTCCCTCTTAACTAAAAAAGCAGAGTGCACTATTCTACTCAATCCTTTCCTCAATAAATCCTGGGAACCACTCCATATCAATGTGTTTAGATCTATCAAATTCTCTTTTTCTATTGTGCAAATCTATCATCATTTCCTATTTAATCAGTCACCTCTATCAATCACATTTAAGTGTGATGCTGCCAGTATAATGCTGCAATAAATACCTTTGTACCTCTATTTACGTGTGGAAAAAAAAATAATAGAAATGGTTATTGAATGGGTCGAAAGAAATTATGCCTTTTAAATTCTGATAGATAACATCAAATTGTTATCCAAAAGAGGCTATACTTCCATTACTGATAGCATGTTTCTCAGTATCTTTTCTTTTCTATTTTTAAAATAATTTTTTTAAATTTTGGAGTAATTTTAGATTTCCAGAAAAGTTTTCAAAAATACAACAATACAGAGTTCCCATTTACCCGTCACGTATAATGTCCCATTATGTTAACATCTTACATAACCAAAACTAAGAAATTAACACTGGTGCCTTACTATTAGCAAACTCCAGATTTCATCTAGAATTCACCGGTTTCTCCACTAATGTCTTTTTCAGCTCCAGGATCCAACCTAAAATATACCACGTTGTATTTAGTTGTCATGTCAATGTCTACATGCATCCTTCCTTTTCATGATCTTGTTACTTCTTTAAAGTTTTTCTTATCTTTGCAACTCAAGTAGCAAAAAATTTTCTCTCCGTTGTTTAAACATGTTTTTTAAAATTACAAGACCGCGAATCTGGTCATGCACTTAAATCCTCTAGCATTTCCTCTGAGAAGAGCTTGTCCCTCTCTTGTCCTGACTTCCTGTGGCTTCATGGTCTTTTTCTTGTGAGTTTGTAAAGGCTCCTGACATAAACCTGGAATATAATTTTTTTTCAATTTATCATTTTCTTTTCACTTAGTTTACAGTATTTTATCCATGCAGATAGTTAAACTTTTTACAGTCATGATTTCATGTCAATCGTTTCAAATACTTCCAAGAATGTAAATGTTCAGGAAAAGTGTTCCTGCTATAGATGTTCAAACCCTACTCCTGAAATCTTTTCAACACGGTTAAGTTTTATAAAATAGTATGCCCAACTGCATACTATCTTTTAATGATACAAAATGTTATAAATCTCTCTGGATCATGACTCTAAATGTAATTTATTCAACCAACATTTAATATGGTGCTTACCATGTGCCAGGCACTGTTTTCATTTACCCAATGCCTTATGCTGATAAAGCAAGTATGCTCCCTATATTCCTTCTTCTGTTCAATTAGAAGACATTGGACATAATCAGTAGGTGATTGATTTTGGTTTTTTATTTTTATTTATATATTTTTTTTGAGTTGGAGTCTCACTCTGTCGCCCAGACTGGAGTGCAGTGGCCGCTCCCGGCCACCACAGCCTTGACCTGCTGGGCTCCGGCTATCCTTCCGCCTCAGCCTTCCGAGTAGCTGGAATTACAGGCATGTGCAACCACGCCCGGCTGATTTTTTGATTTATTGTAGAGATGAGGTCTCGCTGCCCAGGCGGGTCTCGAACCCGCGGACTCAGGCAATCCACTCACCTCAGCCTCCCAAAGGCGTGGGATTACAGGCTGAGCCACCGAGCCT